GGAGGAAGGCTTCGTGGATGTGTGTGGCAGCGGCCTGCTGATCTACGGGGAGATGCATGAGAAGCTCTTCCAGCACCAGCGTGAAGGTGTCGCCTTCCTGTACCGCCTGCACCGGGAAGGCAGGCCTGGCGGCATTCTGGCCGATGACATGGGCTTGGGGAAGACCATCCAGGTCATCGCCTTCCTCTCGGGCATGTTTGATGCTGAGCTCATCCGACACGTCCTGCTGATCATGCCCACCACCCTGGTCAGCAGCTGGCTGGCTGAATTCTCTCGCTGGACCCCCGGCTTACGCGTCAAGGAATTCCACGGCAGCAGCAAGACGGAGCGTACCAGGAACCTGGAGAGAGTCCAGAGGAAGAACGGCATCATCATCACGAGCTACCAGATGCTCATTAACAACTGGAAGCAGCTTGCCAGCAGCCACGAGCAGGAATTTGTCTGGGATTATGTCATTCTTGACGAAGCACATAAAATCAAGTGCCCCTCTAATAAAACCACCAAGTGTGTGTATGCGATTCCTGCAAAGCATCGCCTCCTCCTCACGGGCACCCCCGTGCAGAACAACCTCCGGGAAATGTGGTCCTTGTTTGACTTTGCATGCCAAGGCTCCCTCCTGGGAACAGCCAAAACTTTTCGGATGGAATATGAGAATCCTATCACTAGGGCAAGGGAGAAAGATGCCACTCTAGGCGAGAAAGCCCTGGGGCTAAAGATATCTGAGAATCTAATGGCAATCATAAAGCCATATTTCCTCAGGAGAAGCAAAGAAGATATCAAAAACTATCACACTGTGAAACCCCATGCTCCTCTTCCTGAAGATCTGAAGGAGAACAGTGCTCCTGTCATGCCATCTCTCACTAGGAAAAACGACTTTGTGGTCTGGGTGTACTTGGCACCGGTGCAGGAAGAAATCTACAGGAACTTCCTCTCTCTGGATCACGTGAAAGAAGTGCTGATGACAACCCGCTCGCCTTTGGCTGAGCTCACTGTCTTGAAGAAGCTGTGTGACCATCCCAGGCTTCTGTCTGCGAGAGCATGTACCCAGCTGGGCTTGGAAGAGCAGGAACACTCTGAGCAGGAGGATGGGAGCGAAGCGGGCGTGACTGCGGGCGCTAATAAAATAGATCATCTCTCTGAGGAGACTGTGATTCAGGAGTCTGGGAAAATGCTGTTCCTTGTAGGGCTTCTAGAAAGGCTCCGAGAAGAAGGACACAGAACCTTGGTGTTCTCACAGTCCAGGAAGATGCTGGATATCATAGAGCACGTCTTGTCTCGCAGAGGCTTTAAGATGACGCGTATCGACGGGACGGTGACCCACCTGACGGAGCGGGAGAAGCGCATCAACGCCTTTCAGAGCTGCCAGGACTACTCTGTCTTCCTGCTCACTACACAAGTTGGTGGCGTTGGTATCACCTTAACAGCAGCCAGCAGAGTGGTGATCTTTGATCCCAGCTGGAATCCAGCTACTGATGCTCAGGCTGTAGACAGAGCTTATAGGATCGGGCAAAAAGAGAACGTGGTGATTTACAGACTGATTACCTGCGGGACAGTGGAAGAGAAGATATACAGGCGACAGGTATTTAAGGATTCATTAATCAGACAGACTACTGGTGACAAAAAGAACCCCTTTAGATATTTCTCCAAACAGGAACTAAGAGAGCTTTTCACATTAGAAGATACTCGAACATCTGCGACTCAGATCCAGCTGCAGTCTTTGCACGCCACCCAAAGACAAACTGACGTGCAGCTGGATGAACACATTGCTTATTTACACTCTCTGGAGATGTTTGGCATTTCTGATCATGACTTGATATATACCAGGGAAATAACTCATGAGGAGCAGGTTGAGAGTGAAGAAGCCCATCAGTACATTCAACGGAGGGTACAGAAAGCCCATGAGCTCGTTCAGTTAGAGTCTCAGCTGCGAGAGCAGAGGATGGAAGGGATCAGAAATGTTTGTGAAGAGATGTGGCAAAGACCCTCAGAATTGATTTCCCAGCCCAAGAAGTTGTCTCCGGGGTTGAACGACGTAAACCACTTTGTTTCACCACCAGTAGCTGATCAACATGAACACGACCAAGTTATTGATCTTACAGAGGACAAGGATGTCCAGGTTCTTAATATCAGCTCCAAAATGACAAGTCTGACTATTGATGAAGAGAAAGTGGCACAAGAAGATGTGTCTGGTATGGATATAGAGCTGCTTGATACCAGCAAGATGGTGGAACAATCCAAGAGACAAGAATCTGAGCAAAATCTTGAATCAAGTATTATACCATCATCACCTGGACTTCATCTCCTTGATAAAGAGAATCAGAGTCTTGATCAGAAACAGGGTTTGTGTGTGAAGTCACATAGCTTGAGTGAGTCAGGGGACAGCCTGTCTGGGCATCATCAGCGTTCCTCTAACGAGTCTGGTGTGGCTGCTGATCCCAAAAGGTCAAGAGATGTAGAAATGGCAGATCAGGGACTTGAGCCACACGCTGCCTTGGGGACAGATAAGAATGAAGTTCCTGAGCCACCTTTGGTTGCTGCAGTGCCAGAGTTAGTGAATGTTACACCAGAAATCCATGCTGGGCTCCAAAAACCAGAAACCAGCTTGGAGAATATGTCTGTACCTTCTTTCCAAGATCAAGTTGACTTCAATCTGGTCTTGGAAGAGTCTGAAGATGGATATCAAGATGCCTCAAATAGGAAAGGATCACTGGGGCAGCCAAAAAAGGAGGGCTTCCAACCAGAAGTAGCAAGTTCTTCTGCATCTCCAACAAAAACTTGGCTGAGTGAGGATGGTAACTCTGGCAAACCCTGTCACACAGCTGAAGAAGAGTCAAATAACTTCCTACAAGGGAGTGAAGCTTCAGAAGAAAACAGTGGTCCCATTGCTTTTGGTAGGAGGAAGTGTTTAAACCGAATTGTTTCAGACAGTGAGGATGAAGACCATTCCATTATGATCTTGGAGGAAAACCAGTCTGAGAAAAGGTCCTCTCCTTTGAACAGCCCTCTGCATCAATTTCTAGAAGGAATTAGGGCATCCACCCCTAAATGTGACAGAAACATAGCAAAAGGCATCTTTTCTCCCCAATTAACTCATAGTGGTAACAGATCTACTGCTTCCAGGCGATCTCTAATCAACAAGGTGGTGGATGAGGTTGAAGATATTGGAGAAATCATGGGAACCACCGATGAAGAAGAGGATGAGAGTGATGAAGAGCAAGATGGCCTTGTGGAAGAAGAAGCTGAAGAGTGTACTGGGGAATCTGTTGAGCCTGAAGAAGAACCTGCTGGAGAAACACTGGATACAGCTGAAGAATCCTTCCATCTAGATGGTATGTCCTCTGAGCAGTCTGAAGCAGATGAGACAGAATCATCTCGGGAGGAATCCACTGGTGATGCTGAGCTTCAGTCAGGTGAGCAGATAGACTACTTCACCCAGGAAAGCACCTCCAAAGAAGAGGTTGGTCAGAGTTCCCCTTCTGCTGGAGGTGACTACACCACCTTGGTAGACACTGGGAAGAAACTTAAGGATGATGGAAAACTCCAGGAGGCCTTGAACTGTTTCCTGCAAGCTCTTGACATAAAGAGTGGAGATCCTGAAGTTATGCTTTTGACTTTAAACTTGTATAGACAGTTAGCCCAGAACTGAAATATGTACACCTTGATTAATTGCAATCTCACTGTTAATTGCAATCTCGATCATCAAGTTCAACTCACATATTTTTTTCAGTAAAAGTTTGTCTCAAGTACATCACTGGGGTTTTGGGGGGTTTTTTTTGTTGGACTGATGGCTGCACTATACATGGTGACTAAAATTAATCCTCCCCTCCTGCCTGAGGGAACAGTCTGACTAGTTATTAGGTGCTGGGGCAGGGACTTCACTGTGGGCTCAGTTCATGGTCCTGTCATTAATTAATTAATTAATAAAATAGGTCTTGATGTCTAAATCCCTCTCCAAGCTGCCAGCCCTTGGCTTCATCTTTCTGCCCTTCAGATTCAGTCACTGCCTGAGGGGAGATGTTGAGGGTAATGGTTCCACAGCACCTTCAAGCTCAAGCTGCTCTAGTTCCTCCCTCCTTGACTTATCATAAGCTGATTTGCCTGCCAGCTGGATCCTGGTGCAAAGGAGAGAACGGAGCTACTGCAACTGGTTTGAAGTTGGTCTGGGCATGTATTTCCTGTGGAGGAGGATTGTCTTCTGTACAGTCTTTCCTTAGGGTTGTAGAATAGTTTTGGTTGGAAAAGACCTTGAAGATCATCAAGTTCAACTGTAAACCTACCAATGCCAAATCTTCCACTAAACCATGTTGCTAAGCCCCACATCTACATGTCTTTTAAATACCTCCAGGGATGGGGACTCCACCACTTTCCTTGTGACAATTTTAACAGTGGGTTTTGATGCTTCCTGATGCCACGTGAGTGTTTAGTGCCTCACAAGTTTGCCTTCTGTATTACAGCATGATAGCAGGGGACACTTTCACACCTTGCTGAGTTTTTGGAGAGAAAACTGGTCTACTGAATTTTAATCCTTTGTACTAGGAGGTGTGGCAAATGCAAACAGTGACCCTGTTGGTACAGGAGATGGGCCAATGTGCCCATCTAAGAGGTAGAACAAAGCTCTGTCAGCCTGGAAACAGGAAACAAAAGGCCTTTTCCCCAAGATCATATATTCAAGGATGAGGTGAGACCCAAACCAGGGCCCTCCCTTTTTGAGGTGTTTGTTTTGTGAAGAGGCTCAGAGGCCAACAAATGATTGTGAAGCTCTAGTTTATTCATATTTTCTTCAGAAAGGCAAGACAGGCCACAGTACAAAAGCAGATGTGGCCTCACTTGAAGGGATGCTCTATTAATAGAGGACTCCTTCTCTGCCACGGCTCAGCCAGGGTGTCTCCAGCCCTGGCCTGACCCACACCTCTGTGGGGTAACTGGGATAGCTCTAGCTGCAGCATCACCCACCTTCTGCCAAAGGGACTGTCCTCCCAGTCCCAGTCTGAGCTCTGAAGCAGAAACTGGAGCATAGGAGCTGTTTGCATCCTCACTGGTGAGGGTGGGGATAAAGATCAAGGCCCTGGAGAACCCCTCTTTCAAAAAAATTCTGGATCATTTACTTTTGCAGATAAAAGCCTGAGCACCTTCTTTAGGTGGACAGAAAAGCAAGAGGCTGGTCTGCCAAACAAAACAGATTCCAACAACTGTGAAAAGCTTTTATTTCACTTTTTCCAGGGAATGCTTTACCTCTTGAAGCAGGCCAGCTGTAATCTGTGCTGCCTCCAAACATGCTGCTGCTTATGACTGACTTGCTCCAAGGCCAAGGTGTCTGGGAGGCTCTTGGGATTGAAGCAGTCAACAAAGTCATGGTCATTCATATTTTATTTGGTCATTCATCTTTTATTTTCTGCCTTCCACCATAATAATGTGGTACCCGAACTTTGTTTTAACAGGAGGGTCTGTATATACTGGCTTGTCCATGCTGCTCACGGGCAAGGCGAATGCTGCATCCTGGAAAGGTCCCACCATGGAGCCTCTGCTCATCCAGCCCAAATCTCCCTGGAAAAAAGAACCAGCAGGATTAAGCTCAGAGAATCTCACTGCAACAACAGCCTCATCAGCAGGGAGATGTGGCTGTGAGACAGGAAACCTGTCCAGGCAGGATTTGGGCATCACTGTGAGGGAGGATGGCACAGGGAAGGGGGGCAACCTCTCGGCAAGTGCCGGGCTCTGCCTTGGGGCTCATCTGCCTCAGATCTGCTGCCAGTAACTATTCACAGCTCAGCTCCGTGTGCTTTTGCCTCCCAGTTAAGACCAGACCCGTTTGCCCACCGCACTGGGAGGACTGGGGGTGCCCTTCTCCAGGTCCTGAGGCAGGTACTGAGCTGTTGGAAGGCACCAGCGGGGCAGGGCTCCCCTCCAGGCAGGCAGCGAGGAAGCCCCGCAGGAATCCCGGCTCCCCGGGGCCGCTGTCCCCTCGCCCCGGGCCGGCAGCGGGACACCCACCCCTTGCCGGGCTTTGTCCTCGCTGTATTGCGCGGCCA